GACTCTAGCAGGCTGTTTTAAGGGATGCAGGTAAATGCCAGAAGTCTGGTAGCCCTTTTCCTGAAAGCCAATGGCTTTTAATGAAATGTGTTTGTCAGAAAAGGGGCTCCCAGGCTCCTCCTGATTATCTGCCACTATAGGCTAACATAGCTCTCTTCCTACCAAGCTTAGCCTCTGGCTTCCTCTTCATGGGACCCGAGAACCCGATCACCTTGCCAGCCCGATCCCCTTGGCCACTGCTTTAGTAGCTTGAGGATCCTGGCAGACTCCCCTTGCTGCAGAAAAAGGTGAAACCAGGGTTGGTCTCCTTCCTGGGGCCCCACCCCTTCTGTGTTGCCCCACCAGATCCTCCCCACTCGCCAAGGACAGCCCCGAAGAATTCCCTGGAATGCATGTGTGAATGGACGCGGGCGCGGGTTTGCGTGTCTCGCCGAGAGAGATCTTCTAATTTTGTCACTAAAGACTATGAAACCACTCCAGTGCACCCTCGAGGGGGGAACCCCCCCCCCACATTCATCTCTTTTTTGGAGGCCTCCACCATCTCCCCTTGGATCTAACAGTCCCCAGCTACGCGTCCTCCAGACTCCTTTGCTGTACATAGAGATTTTTATCACCCCGCTGTGTTGGTTGATTTTGCCTGCTGGTCGCTTCTGTTTGTCCCTTGGATTCTCAATTTCTCCATTGTGGGCCAGTTCTCCTCTTCCTCTTCCCTCCTTCGCCATCCCCACGACCCACCCTTCCTCTCCTCCCCACTTCCCCGACCATCCTATCTTACCCCTTGTGGAGAGGGTTAGATTCGGGTTTGTACGGATCTGAAATTTCCAGTTGTATTTTTTTAAATTATTATAATTATGATTATTGCACGTGCAAAAGAAAAAAAAAACAGGGACTTTTGGGAGGGTGGATTTGGTGGAAAATAAAGAGGTGGTTCGTCTCTTTAAAACGGAACAACTGGTGGCTGTTTCTCCCGTCTGGCAAGGAGAAGGAGCCGAGAGGAGGGGGAGCCGAGGGGAGGGGTTCCTTTGGGGGGTCGCCTGCCAACCTGGGAAGGTGAGCCAAGCCAGCAGAGGTGCCAACCCGGGTCCTTGAGAAGCTTAGTCGGGCGCGGGTGTTGTTTAACTACGAAACGCTCCTGTCTGCTTGCCAAAACACTGATTCAACTGCTAGAAGAGTTTAATTAAGACTCGAGGGTAATTAGTTTGGATTGATCAAAGCTCCGGGGCTCGAGAGACGATCCTCTGTGAAACCCCCCCCCCCTTCTTGGCAAAAGAGAAAGAAAGCTCTAAAAGAGGGCGCGGAAGAAGGCAGAGAGAGGGCTTTGTCCTTCCGCAGTTTTCTTGCAAAGCATTCGAAGAGAGGGGGGAAAAAACGTCCTTCTGTGATCCGAAGTGAAAACGATGCGCGGAGGGGGGTGGGGGGAGCGCAAGCACTGGCACCCACCTCTCGACCGGATCGCCCCTGGAGTGAGACCGGCTCGATTCCAGGGAGAGGCCAGATTTGGGGTCTGCAGCCTTTCTCTCCCCTTTTCAAGCTGCAACTTACTCCCCTCCCCCCGGTTGAAACCCTTTCCCGGCCGTCTCTCTCACACACACCCCGGCCCACTCCGCCCCCGATCTATTTGGCGGCTGTCTCGCCCGAGGAAGAGCCTGAGGACTTGAGAACTGGCACGCTACTGTGTGACCTTGACTGGGCCAAATAAAGATGATCTCGCTTCGAGTTGGGGCTTTTTTTCCAAGAGCCGGCTCCCCCTCGCCCCCTTGAATAAGAGGCGCCCACTTGTTTCTTTCAGCTCCGAGTGACCAGGACGACCCAGCGGGAGTGGGATAGATACAGACAGGGGCATGTAAAAGTGAGGAGCAGCAAGCAGAGCTGCCCCCCCCCTTCATTTTTCCAAGAGAACCGAGAGCAGTTCGCTTCCTTAGAAGAAAATGATGCTCCGAGTAAATAAAATCGGAACAGAATGAGGGAAAAGTCGGCAAGAACGGACGAGCTTTGTAGGCAGTAGAGGGTGCAAGATACACTTAACCATGGTTAACTGGAGCATCCCTTTCTTAACCGACCCAGGATTACCGCTTGCACCACGTGCTCCACGAGCCGGGTTCGCGAAAGAGGTTGGGCTGAAAGGCTGGCCTGTGGTTCCGGGTGTGTCGAGAGACCCCCCAACCCCAGCAACGATGGCGCTTAGAAAGGGCGAAAAGGGACGGGAGCCACCAGGGAAGGTCGTCAGCAGCTTCCACCAGGGTAGCGTCCTCCAAACGTGCTGGACTAAACCTCCCCTCATCCAGCCCCCCACCCCCGGCATTGGGATTGGGAGTCGGACAAAACTGCTCTGAAGGACCACGGAGGGAGCCCAAGGAGAGGCCAAAACTCAACCTCGAAGCTCGCAGAAGGCGCGGGAGACGAGCGCGGAGCGGAGAGCGGCCGGGAAGGCGCAGAGACCGCAGAGGGAGACCCCCTCGGCCTTCGGAGAAGGTGTGCCCCTCCCGGCGGGGGGGGGGGC